GGAGCTGCCTGTCACCGCCCCTCTCCTCTCATTGGCTGAGAGCCTCGTCAGTCAGAGTGGAGGGCGGGGCCAGGCGGGTGATGTCACAGTCACATGGATCCTCATGTGGTGGTGGAGAGCAGCAGGATGACAGAGCAGAGAGAGAGCTGCTGATCACACACACACACACACACACACACTCACACACACACACCACACACACTCTCTCCTCATGAGGCATATCTCCCAGCAAGTCCTGTAGTCCAAAAACAACAAGCACACATCACAGCAGCACGTCAATAGTAGACACTGTGCTGTGAGCAGGATTTTTCAGCCACTTTCAACCATAACTTGACTCCTGCATAGTTTTATTTTTATGGAAATATTATCTATATTGGCTCTGAATACTTTATTTTTGGCAATATTGCTTTCATTTCGCTGGTTGACAACTACATGACATCTTTCTTCAGGTACCTATCGTGAGTTACCTGTTTTTGAAGCTTCGAGTTTGGTGTTTATGGTCGTTGCAAATGACGCATAGCCCTGCTTTTGATCTATTTTACTCTAAATGGGACCATCATGTTACTAACATGAACATCATGCTGTATGGAAGAAGACTGAAACAGAGACTGGAGAGCCAGAAACTCCCGTCAGGAAAACTGTATTACTAAGGCTTATATATCCAAGTGAAAAGTTGGCTCATTCTCCCCATAAGACTGCAATGGTATCAGTTTATAATTAGCAGCCAGTGAGCCTCCCCGCCTGCATGGCCGTTACATAGAAGCAAGGTTTAAGGACACTTCAGCACTGGCTTCCACTTCAATAGACGCTGGAAACTCTGTCCATTATATATAACTGTCAGTGGAGCTGGTTCAACCAAAGAGTTCTTTTTGGATTATCTTATTCACCATTTCTAATCTGCTGCTAAGAATAGTCCCCAATTACTGCACTATTTACTGCTGTTATTAAACTATGTGAGCAGCTGGTCCTTTTTGAAAACATGAGGGCTCCTGTTAGGGGGGCTTGGAGCTGAGGAGCACAGAACAGGACGTCTGGAAACTGAGTAAGAGAGCAGACTGGGGACAAGAGCGCCAACAGCCTGTGTTGGTTTGTCCCGAGTCATCTATAATAGACGCCTCCTGATCCAACTACAGCCCAGGTGGGGTTTCCAACGCTGTTGGGGTTCAGCGACCCGCAATTGGATACCGAGAAGGCCGCTCAGACCCCCGTAAATTTGATGAGAGGTGGCTCTTAGGGGATCCCCATCTGTTCCATAACTGTCTAAACGGTTGGGTGTCGTGTTTGGTGTTTATCTGCTGTCCGGCAATACTGCCGTATAAATAAAAAGTAGGTATTTATTATATATATATCATATAATTATAATACGTTATTGGGAAACTCTAGCCCAACCAAAATATTAGTGGGAATTTTTTATACTATACCTATACAGTATTATATATTTATAGTATATATTATATATCTATTTTCCAAAGAAAAAAAATACTGGGGGGAACCCTGCAGGACGCCCCAC